GTGGATTCTTCAACACCTCTAGTTTCGACTCTCTAAACTTATCTCACTGAATCATACTTCTTGAATAATATCTTCTAATCCTAACCTCTCCGATTATTTCTAATTCCCTTACTACCTCTTCTACTATTGGATTTGAATTGACGATTACTTCTCTGTGCTGATGTGGTATGGCAACATGAACTGATGTACTTATGTACAAAGTTCTACGTTGCATCTGACTGACTGACTCTTATTTCCATTTAACCTTGCTATTTGGAGTATAATCTTTTCCTGTTCAACCGTGTTTTTGATTCTTTGGAACTTGTCCAGTGTATTGTGGTCAGAGAGTACTAAGCAATAGGATTTAGCTGGGAATTATTTAAGCAAGCGTTACAACACCTATTATTCAGGAAATTTTGTTTTTCGGTCATAATTTATGTAGTAAACAAAAATGACACGGCACTGAAATGCGTTGTGGTTGGTGAAAATTCTTATTTGATAAATATGTTTATTCATAATATTTTACAACCCAGTAAATGTATTATATACTTCTCAGATGGAGGAGTTGAACGGTGAGATTTGATGGCTGAAGTCTTGTGCTTCAAACATCGAATCGCAGCTGTATTGTTTTGAGATAACCATTTCTGTAATATTTCAAATTGATTAACTTACTCAACGAAGGAGTAAGTGGATTCATGATGTATTCATTAATTCTACCCTTCAGTTCTGAGGCATAATCCTAATTCGTCCAACGAAAGAAAGGGTAAAATACTAACCACTACATTTTACATCTTTCATGGGATACTTTATAAAATAACTACAGTTACAGGCACCTCCTGCGTACAGAGACTTTTTGTAGGATCTAAATCAACTGGATGAAACAATAATTGCAAAACCTGTAGATTGTTTCCGATAAATCTATGCTTTCTATAATGTTTTTTTTTAAGTAGAATAAATAAGACGTCTAAACTTATATTCCTCGATTAATAGTTTGATGTTTTCTCTAGCCCTTAATATCAAAAAGTACCTCAGATACATACTGCAAATGTAATATGCGTAGATTCATGAATTTTTGACTTTAAAAAAACCTTTTCTTAAACTGTAACTATAAAATTTATGTGGTTTTCAGTAACACTTGAGAAAGGTACATTAATATTAGCTAACAGGCAAATTTTTGAAATTCCTCTTTGACTAGTAAAATTGTATGAGTTTAGAAACCAATCTATGGTTGACGGTACATGCTAGGTGTAAAAATTAGCTGGTAATTAAAATTCCACTGATTAGTCTCATATTAAGTTGCCACCACCTGTCGACATCTGTTGATAAAGTATACTTCTAAATCTAAAAAAATGTTCTCAGTTCCTTAAGGCAAGTTATTGAAGCTCCCCTACTAATGGTGTTTAACGATTTCTGTCTGACTGTGGTCTTATGAGGTAAGATTTTGCATCCAAAATATTAGTAATCATTTCCTCAATTCGCCCATCGACAACCTAATACAATCCAGCAAAACAATCTCCATATTATTCAACGTCTTTACAGAAACATCACATTGGATCAAGACAATAAAAATAAAAGCCTGTATTATGTTTTGCTTACGACAAATACCAATCTGCACAACTGAATACAATGTGTAATTTGTCTGTATTCTCCTTTTACCTAGTCATACTAGATGTTATTTCTTATAACTCAATTCTAATATTTCACTCCTAACGAAATGTATATGTAATCGTGATTTCTAAAATTCACATAGCTCTAGCTATTCATTATATACCTTTCGGTCTGAAAACATTGTAGTTTAAAGGTAAAGTTACTTAAATATAAAAAATAATTTTATTAACAGGTGTACATTTGCAAACGGTCAGTTATGAGGAGTTAATGGAAATCTTTTCAAACATGTGTTTACTCATTTTTGTAATATACACGTTTATTTACTGTGTTTTAAATGTACAATACTTGTGTGAATATTATGAAATGATATACTGAATAACAAGTAAAAAGATACTACCAATAAACTATTCAAATGATTTTTTGATCTTCTGCTAGAAAGATGCATCATGTAGAAACACTAGGTTGACAGATGATATATTAGCAATTTACAACTCATAGACCGTAAATCTAGGGGAAATCTTCAACTAAACCTATTGTCAATCACAGATAATCAATACCCTGATTGATTTTCTCTGTCTAGAATCAAACTGTTTAATTTGGAAGGTGGTCAAAAAAAATCAATATGTTTGTGCCAGTCCAACTGCAATGTGACTTTTCGACGAAACTTACAAAATGTTTATTTGTGAAATTGTTCCTTCCTACTGTACTAAACGACACTCATAAGCAGAGCATATCTCCAACTCCCTCCCTTCTGGAGTGTAAGCCTATGCGATTCGGTGACAGGGTTAAAGATGTTACCATGAAGTTATTCAAATTTGAACAGAAAGCCATACTGGTTGAATTTTCTCAGGCCATGTCGTTTTATTCGACCCTTTTAATTCTCCATCAACAGTGCAGTAGTGACTGACTAATCGACAGCGATCAATGTGCAATAAATTTTCCACTTCGACAGTGTATTTTTTACTTGTAAATCGAATTTTCATTTATTCCGTACCAAAAAGTAGATGAGTTGCTTTGTTTGTTTGTTTGTTTGTTTTTATTTTTCATTTTCTTTGTGTTTGATATACACACACGCACCAAAATAGATTTATGCTCACCAGGATCGTATTATCCAAGTCATATTATCAATCCGCCACCACCATCCATAGATGAAGAACTCTTTCCGTACACTGAAAAGCAACCAGTATTTATGAATAGATATTTGAGATCTTCCTATTATTCTCAATTTGATTCTAGTGATAATCATCGAACTAAATGTTTGCCATGTCCAAAAAATACATATTCCGAAGAATTTGGTCAGACAAGTTGTTTACCATGTCCATTTCAACATAGTATGCCAATAGACGCTGACAGTGATAAACAACCGATCAATGCAAGTGATTGGCTACACAGAGTATGTCCCAAAGAAGGTGTGGCTGAAATGATCAAACTACAAATAATTGAAAAAATATTTGGCAAAACAATACGTGAATATATAAAAAAGACTACACTCATTAATCAAGCAAAATTTTTAAATGTTATCATAGCTTTACCGGCTATTATCACATTTTTATTATTATTCATTGCTTATGTTCTAATTGATGTCGGATCTACATTTAAAGAAATCGCCAAAACTTTGCATCCTTTACAAGTACAATTAGCTGAGATTAGTACAGCGAATGCACGTTCAGACGTTGAAGAGAGTCAAGCAGCTGAAAAGATTTATAAACGTATGAAGAAGGTTTAATTAGTAAAACATGACTGATTCATTAAAACAATATCTTTTCTTTATTGTTTTAATTATGGTTTAAAGTTATAATTTCTTCATTGTTAATTGTTGTATTTTTAACCAAAGGATATTATAATGACAATACTATGTACTCATTGTTAGAATTGAATTTCCAAACTTCATTTTCATTCCAATAAATCAATATCATCAATAAAACTCCAGTTTTGCTCTTGGACTTGGTACAACTTTGAAGAATCATAATTTTTCTTGAAATTGTAGGAATTGTCAACGACGTCTTGTCAAAATTTTCAGACAGAAATTCAATAACCAACGTTATACTTACTCTAAGGAGTTGTGCTTATTCACTAAGCACATTTCTCTTTTAAATAAGTGACAGTGAACAAACAGTTACTTTAAATTCTTTACTGAACAGTGATGCTGTTTCAACGTAAGTGAATGATAGTTAACATCAAATTTTTCTTAATGAATGACTAGTTCTGTTAGATTGGTTTTATTTTGTCTAAATATTATCTATCAAAAGACACAAGTTCAGCCGTTAACATACTGTAATCAGAACAACACATATAAGCGAACAATATTGTTTTCGATTAAATCGTCATCAGGCTTTACTCTAACGAACATGAATATTTATATGAAAATGTTAAAACCATTCAAGGCAATTTGAGTGATAATCACAATGAAATGATCAGTACACCTGTCTTCGTACTATCAACTTGTACTTTTGCCTATTATATGTAGTGACGTAATCTCTTTTTCATTTCATTATGATTATTGACTCAAATTGCCTTGATTGGTTTAAAATCTTCATATAAATATTCATGTATATTAAAGTAAAGCCTGATGACGATCTAATCGAAAACAATATTGTTCGCTTATATGTGTTGTTCTAATTTTCACAATGGGAATATTTATTACTCTTAAATACTGTAATCAGTTTAATTGAAAGATTCCAAGTTATGCCTGTTCGAATGATCAAGAAATGTAGACAGTAAACAATGATAAGTAAATCATCTAGAATAATTGTCTTCATCCACCAATTGAGTAAAGCTTTAGATATGCTACATGTTGTTGATACATCAAAGAGCAATTGAAATTCGCTCGAATCGGCATTCCGACTCTCATCTTATTATTATTATTATTATTATTATTATTATTATTATTATTATTATTATTATTATTATTGAATAACTTATCAACATGCTGCTAAACCTAACAGTAAGAATGGTCAGTCATTAAATAAACGATTGTTTGTTTTACAACAAGATCTTTTGTATGAACTCTTTATGACGTATTTAATTTTGGTAATGCAGTTCTTCTTAGAAACTGTTGGACTTAATAGGATGTATATCATGTCAGTTTTCCATGTCATCAATGAGAAAGAATCAAACCTAATTGAAAATGATGATAAGAAAAAATACTGCACTTGTGGTGCGAGCTGCTTTTAAGTAGTATATGACGTGAGTGTCAACGTAATGTCTGGCAGCAGATGATGGGGGAAGATCAAGAAAGGAAGAGTTAGAAAACAATGGAATTTGTATGAAACGCATGAATAGTGACAATGGATTGATGTTTTGCAACAGGAACAGTCCAGTTCGATATGATGGACTGATATTTTGCAAATTAACGATTTACGATATGGTTTCCCGATTTTACTGAGTAACTCTGTAATTTTGGTTAAAGAAAATGTCGTTTGAAAAGAAAGTGTAGAAATGAGAAATAAAACTTACTAACTTATTATAAGGTTTGCATTTGCTTGCAATTAATGTTAAGAATAACAAGTATCAATTATTTTCTGTTAGCATACCATTTAGTCATCACAAGCCAGATAAAGTTTAATTCATTAACTTCGTGAATAATGAGTTGGGCGCTTGAAACGAACAGTATTGAGATATTGCATATTAGCATTGTACATCAAAAAGTTGATGCGGTTACATCAAGCCGACAACTCTCGAATAGGATGAGATGAGAGCTCTACTATTTACTTTTAGCCAAAATTCAAACTTAATAAAACAAAGAATAGAATGTATAGGATAAAAATAAAACTTAAGATAAAAAATTACATTGTATGTGCACCCATGACACTAATTTGCAGCTATATTGACAAAAGTATGAAAACGTTGATTACAATTAGCATGTTGATCTTAAACTTATACTATCTAGCAGGACATAGTTAAGCAGTTCCTGATCGTAACGCCTGAAGCATGCTTCGGTGTTATAGCTCCAAACATAGACGACCATCAACGTAGATAGTGACTTAAAAAATCCTAATTACTTTGAGAATATTCTAAATAATCTAGATATCGTTGCTTGGTTTCTATAATTTACCCTAGTTGAATTACATTTTTGTAAAATAAAGCTGTCGTTTATTTTTTCTCATTATTCATCCTCATATTGTTCGGTCTTTCATGAGAATTTGTGGAAATCGCTCAAATTCAAGTTACTGTTTATAAACTTACTAAATAGCAGTTGAAGATTTGTTGCAAAACAATACTCCGAGTAAAACTTCTTGAAACTCGTCAACAGTGATCGTCCAACATTTCTTATTTCAAATTAATTTCACGTCTCATGACTAATACGATATAACTAGGACAACTAAATTAAGATTCAGTTGTTCATAATTATAACTTTAGTTGCCTTTTTCTAGTTTCATCCATAATTTGAAAATTTAACATCTTGACGTCATTCATTAAACTTGTAGACTGTTCAGTGTTCATTATCCGTTATCTCCTCAAAATTATCTTTATCTTGTTATGAAATTAATCTGTAGTTGACTCAAATCCAATGTTATAGATATGCTTTCCTTAAGCGAACAACAGAAGCAACCATGTAACAGGATTATCTAAACCATGTACCTAAACGAAAGGAAATTTGGATTAAGGAAACGCCTACCCCACCGTTTAACACTCGAAAAACACTGACATCTTATTGATGTAACTGCGAAAAAAGGGACAACTAATTGGATTATACTAGGATTTTATTGCAATGACAGTTTGATTCTTTTCTTTCTCTCTCTCTCTCTGGCTTGATTATTGATTAGTCAACTTGGAAACAGTCACCTTCAAGTTACGAAATGTTATTTTAATCAGTGAACAACAACGAAGACCTTGACACAGTGTTCCTTGAGCTTTTTCTAATTCAGTCATTCATTAATCGGAGGATGAAAGTAGAAAACAAACTATTCTCTATTGTGTTCTAATTTAATCAAAACTAAAAAGTTATACTATAAAATACCTAAATCACCTGATCATACAATAACGCAGTTAGAAAACTAAAATGTCTATCTAACTTTGTTATAAGTAATACAAAACCGTAGTAATAAGGAAATAGTTAGTTAATCAATGATAAATCTGGAACAATAAGATTTGACACGAAGATTTATGAGTCAAATGGAAGCTCAAAAATACAAACGTCTACTAACTATGCAGTAAACAAATATAACAGTAATCCTATATTTGATTACTTCAAAATATTTACTTAAAACATCGCCTTGTTACATCACTTATTTAGCCACTTTCTATCACTAATTCTAAAGGTCAGATGAAATCCTGTTAGATTAGACTAATTTAATTCAATGAACTTTCACTGATGATACACTAAATTCAAGGGTCATGTTCTTGTTATACATTCAACATACAACTGGGTGAGACACTCATTTTCAATAGGTCTATATTACCTCAGTGGTCAACTAAATCAACATTATAAGAATGTGGACACTGTTGAGTTTCATTGAAATCATAAATCGATCAATGTTATACTACGTACCACTTAAAACCCGTAAGTACTGGACGGCCGTAGAATGAGTCTCATTAGCAGTGTGCATCCACCGCCCTGAAAGTCGAAACAGAAACCAGAGCCTTTGGTCTCGCTCGCTAACGTTTAACCTCTTGACTGTTGAGCCAGCAACCAATCGTGTTAATGTCTAACTTCAATCAATCCGCAATATCATGGTAGCGCAATATTTCAATGAAAATAACTGGATGTTGTTCATTTTATTTATTTCATTTCAAACACCAATCATTAAGACATCAGCTTATCTATTGGGTAGTGATAGATTTCTCTCCTTATATGGGATAGAGTTCAATACCAGGTGAGAGAAAAAAAATGGTTGCACGATTTAGCTTACAAACGTTTTCAAAACCAATTTTATCTAGTACAGTACAGTTTTTATCACGGACTAAGATCATCTGACTGACGAGTGCAAACCAAAGGGGAATGAATAGTCATTATTACAAATACTACCTTCATGCGACAATCGCTTCACAACGACTACTAGTCTTCTATTGTTATAGTAATGAATATGGAAATCTGTAATCATAAGATTTATGTTCTTGAACGTAAATTAGCGCTAAAAATAAATTTTCATTTTAAGTTGTTACTGTTTTAATAAAATTCATCAATGTACACGTAGAATAAACAATTCGTTAGATCTGCCTGAATTTACTATTAGAAATAAACGAGCATAAATTAACTCAAAAAAACTTATGGAATGATAATTTATTCATATAGATAATTACTAATTATATGCAATACAAATTCATTGAAGGGTCTATCACATTGATACTGTAATCACTAACAAAATGTTATAAACTTTAATCATTAGATTAATTTTAATCGATTGTTTACTTAACAAAATAAAAGTAGTATAACAATAAAGAAAATTAATATCTATTACCAGTCGATCTACGGCACTCACTTTCTAATCAACTAGTCACCACTAGTTCCAAAGTACAACACTCCACCAACATCAATTTAGGCAGTTGGGGATAGTTTGGCTGCTTCTCATACAGATTCCATTACTTTAAGCTCAGAACATAAGCCTGTAATGGATGGATAAGTTGTATAAATTATGAATCGTCATTGCCAGCTACTACTATCTAAAGTATGCTACGATTTCCTCAATATTTTAATCAAAATCATCCATCCACTAATTTTATTGATCAACTACGCAAAATCTGAAGTGTTTTGTAGTTTGTAGATTAGTCCATCCAGTCACAACA